GTCTAGTCTAGGCTGCTGGAGCGACCGGGACGAGGTCGTGAACTTTGAGCAGCGCTACCAGGTGGAGCTGATCAAGGTCGAGAAACGGAAAGAGGTGGAGATGGAGATCCGCCTCCAGTGAACTCGAGTCTCTCTCTCTCTCCTGTCTAGGCTGCTGGAGCGACCGGGACGAGGTCGTGAACTTTGAGCAGCGCTACCAGGTGGAGCTGATCAAGGTCGAGAAACGGAAAGAGGTGGAGATGGAGATCCGCCTCCAGGTGAGTGAACTCGAGGGCCCGCCTTCCAGGGAAAGGCCGTGTGGGTGGGCACAGCAGCCCAACAACTGCCTTTGCTGGGCCCTCCCTCATGTCCTTCCCTGAGGTTTTCCTGACCCACAGGTGGATGAGCTGATGCGTGAGGAACTCCAGAAGTTGCGTCTGGCCGTGGACCAGGAGGAGCAGCGGGCCACAAAGCCACAGAAGGCACGGAGCAGTGCCAAGGTCCGTGGGCAGGGAGGATGCCCAGGGGACCCCTCCTTTTAACCATTCTCTTTTCAAGTACACATTGGTAAAAAAGATTTTCTCTGGCAGAAAAAAGGAAAGAAAGGTAGAAAGGAGAAAGACCTGACCCCGGAAAGGTACGTTCATTCCTACCCTTTCTGAGCCACCCAGTCTCCCGTCCCCACCCCACCCCCGCTTGATGCAAGCAGTCCTGCAGGCACTAACTAGAATCCACATTTGTTCCTCTCCTCCATGCACCCCCTAGGCCTAGCCTGGCTCATGGAGGCTAGTTAGGAGGAGTTACCTAAGAACATAAGAAGAGCAGCCCTGTGCTGGATCAGGCCAAGAACCCCTCTAGTCCAGCTTCCTGTCTCTCACGTTGGCCACACCAGATGCCTCTGGGAGCACCCGAGACTCCCCTGCATCTGGCATTTGGAACTTCCTTCCTTTGAAGCCTGGAGATTAGATATCCCCATCATGGCTTGTAAATTGCAATGGACTTTTTCTCCAAGAATCTGTCCTATTCCCTTTTCAAGACCTCTAGACCAGATGCCGTCACCGCATCCTGTGGAAAGGAGTTCCCCAGACAAACAACATGCTGGGTCAAGAAATATTTTATTTGGTCTGCTCTCACTCTCCTAACACTCATTTGGAGTGGATGTCCCCTGGTTCTGGTATTGTGTGAGAAGGAAAAGAGCTTCTCTATCCCTTTTATCCATCCCCTGTAGAATTTTATATGTCTCAATCATGGCACCTTTTCTCTTGACTAAAGAGCCCCAAACACTGTTGCCTTTCTTTGTAAGGGAAGTACTCCAGCCCAGGCATCATTTGAGTTTCTCTCTTCTGCACCTTTTCTAGTTCCACTAAGTCTTTTTTGATGTGCGGCGACTAGAACTGTATGCAATACTCCAGGTGCAGCCTTACCAGCGTTTTATGCAATGGCATTATGATGTTGTATCAATCCGCTTTTTAATGAGTTCTGCATAGCACTTCCCAGAGTAGCATTTTGCTAAATGGGCAGTATATTAATTGAATAAACAAATACTGAAATGAAGAATTCTTCATGAGGGTCCCTCCTTTTCTGCCTCCTGAGTCTCCAGCCTTGGTCCATCAGCTGATGAGACAGAAAGTAATTCCTTCCTGCTCACATTCCTGGTGTCATGAGTGCACCCGAAGAACTGGAACCAGAGGGATTAACTGTGGCTGAGGAGGATGCTGAGCAATTAGAAATACAAACACCTGAATCCCTCCAGATTCTCCTCCCCCAGTAGACAGGCTTCGGGCCAGGCTTCGGGGAAGACTTATGACAAAAAGGTCAGAGGATCGCTTGAAGGCTGCTCGCAGAAACATCTAATCAACTAGTCCTGAGTTCTGACAGGATGAAAAGGCTTCCAGCAGTTCAAGGGGCTGGTTTCCTATATAAACAGCTCTCAGATGGCTGAAAATCTGTGGAAGCAACAAGTCAAACCTCTGGCTTGCATCCACGCTCCTGACAACCTTGAATCTTGTTCTCTGGACCCTTGGCTTTGGACTCTGACCCTGGACTATGTTGTGTGAGTTGGCTTTGGTACAGTGGTGCCTCGAATAGCGAGCGCCTCTATTAATGAAAAAACCGAATAGCGATTTGTTTTTTGGGGATTTTTTTTGCTTTGATTAGCTATTTTTTATTTGGGGAATTTTTGATTAGCGATGCTTGGGGCGGCGGTGGCGGCAGGGGAAGGAAAAAGGCCCGGGCGAGTGGCGCTTCGGCCGGCTCACTCCTCCGGGGCGTTTCCTGCAGGCCTCTACCTGAAGGCCCAGGGAAGCATAGTAATTTGTTGAGATCTCAGCTATTAGCCTGTGAGTTGACAACCCTATCCAGAAGTTCTCAGCCAGCATAATCAGTAGCCACGAGGGCTGCGGTGGCGGCCACCCATCTTCCGGCGGCCCGGCTGGGCCTCCTCTGGCTCCGGCTCCTCCTGGCAGCACTGGGGGGTCGAGGGAGGAGAACAAAGGGACCCACTGGGCACCTCCCCCCCCCGGCAGGCAGGGACGGGCGGGTGGATGGCCCCGCTCCTTCTGGGCTGGCTGGCTTCCTCCTCCTTCCTCGCTCCCTCGGTGGCTGGCTTTGTTCTCTTTTTTAATTTGTTGTTGTTTTTCCCCCATTGAGATGCATTGAATAGGTTTCAATGCATTTCAATGGGGGAACCACGTTTTGATTAGCGAGGTTTCCCATGGAGATTTTTGAATAGCTACGGCAATTCATTCCTATTGGAACGGATTAGCTGGCTTTCAATGCATTTCAATGGCAAACCGCATTTTAAATAGCGAATTCCAATAGCAATGTTTTTTGCGGAACGGATTAACATCGCTATTGGAGGCACCACTGTATTTGGATATTGGCTCTGCATTCCCTGAATTCCTGACATAGGACTGGCTTGTCAGACTCTGCCGTTGTAACCCCCAGGAACGTGACACCTGACACCAAGTGTGCGCATTTTTATGCACATTAAAATCTATGTTCACTTACTAGCCTTTTTTCCTAAGCCAAACAGTCCCCTTTTAGGGGAATACTCCAGGCTCTCGCACATCTTGCTTGTCTCTTCCTGCATCTTCTCCAGTGCTGCTACCTGTTGCATATTTTCAGAATCTCATTAATGGACATACCCAAAGGGCATCAATCCCAGCACAGACTCTTAGGGATGGGAACTAGCCAGAATATGTGTGTAGCAATCAAAATGAAAAATAACCAACTTTTTTGAGAAAATTGCACTTAATGTAGAAAAGCCTAAATCTGACTTCTAAATAAAAGAAGGACGAGGGCCCGTTGTTGAAGGAGAGGCAGCTTCTGACCAAAACAAGGAAGATTGACAAAGTTTGAAAAGTGATAGGAGCCACTCGCAAGATAGGTCTGGGGCATGGGGGGAAGCAGACACCTGAGGCAGAAAAGGACAGAGTAGGCTTTTCCTTAATTGTTCAGTCAGGAGGATACTATGATGGAAATTGAAAGAAGCAAGTGCCAAACAGGATTGCAGCTGAATGTTAAGACAAAAATCATGACTACAGAAGACTTACACAACTTTGACACTGGCACTGAATTTGAAACAGTGAAAGGTTTGATATCCCTTGGCTCAATCATCCTTCCAAATCGAGAAATCAGCAGAAGACAGAAAATTGGAAAGACAGCAAGGAAGGAATTACAGGAGGCCCTGAAGGGCCAGGATGTGTCCGTAATAACCAGGAGCAAGAGAATCCGCACCCTGGCACTTGCAATCCCCACGTACAGGTGTGAAAGCTGGACAGTGAAGAAAGCGGGAGGCGGAGGATTCATTTGAAATGGGGCAGTGGAAGAGAGCTTTGTGGATAACCTGGATGGCTAGAAAGACCAACAAGTGGGTCCTAGATCAAATCAAGCCTGAAATCTCTCTGGAGGCAAAAATGTTGAAGCCGAGGCTTTCCTACTTTGGGCACAATATGAAAAAACAGACTTCTCTGGAGAAGATCTCCAGGCTTCAAAGGAAGGTACCTCCAAATGCCAGATGCAGGGGAGGGGGGATCAAGAAGGAAGTATCTAGTGGTCTCCTGTGCTTCCAGAGGCATCTGTTGGGACCACGGTGAGACACAGGAAGCTGGACTGGAGGGGTCCTTACCCTGATCCAGCAGGTTGCTTCTTATGTTCTTAAGACAATAATGTTGGAAAAGATGGAAGGCAGCAGGAAAAAGAGAAAGAACAGAAATGCACAATTTGGCTTACAATATTTGGACAAAATGAACAAGTAGTTTTATTTTCAGTCCTTCTTTAACTGTGCCCAGCATGGATTTGGCCTTTAAAAAGGGGAAAGGCTGCACAGTGGGTCAAGACATCCATGGGGTAACCCAGCACAGTTCCAAGGTTCATTTCTTGGTCAGTTGCTGCTGGCTCAGACCCTTTCTGTTTCCATTTTAATGCCCATGGCACCAGTTTGGAGAGATCTTCCTCTCACCAAGTACCTCATGCCTCATCTCTAATGCCAGGTCATTTAGGAACGGGTGAAATGGCGCCGAGCCCAACTGAGAGCCCTTTGTGACATTGTAGTTCACACCCCTCCATTGTCCTTTGGACAGTTGCTCCCATCTCTTCTCAACTGTCTCATGACTAAATGGCTTTGTTTGATCCATCCATTTGCATCCATCTGTTTTTGTATTTCTATCCCTAAAATAATTTGCTGTCACAGACTTATCTGGCCACTTTTTCACTCACCTGAATCTCCAGGTCATTAATGAGCATGGGGGGGGTGTCAGCTGTTAAAGGGGGGGTGTCAGCTGTTAAAACTCTAATCTTACATGCTTCTTCTTATCTTTATGGATCAGTAAGACCTGTCCTTTCCACCCCATGGAAATCTTTGCTGTTCCTCTGAGGTACATTGGCAGGAGCTTTTTGAAAACCTGAGAAGCCCAAACCTGCTGACCCCTTTCCATTCACATGCTTGTTGACCTCGTAAAGAACTCTGAAAATTTGTCAAGGGAGAGGTGTCTTGGCTACAGCTTTGACCTTAGCAAGGCACCTTTCCCCACAGTGGATGACTTTGACACCCCCCCCTCCATTTCCCTCCAGGACCATAGATTCCCTGTATGAAGAGCTGGTGCTTCAGGGCATCGTTAAAAAGCCCCAGAAGGTGCAACTAGCAGAGTATTCAGGTGAGTGAGCAAGTGGCCCCATTCTCTTCTCTCCAACCTAGACAAAGGCAATTCCTTAGTGGAGGCATTTGCTGAAAGGATTTTACCCACAAGACAAGGTATACAACTTTTAGCTAGGCTAGAGTGATGAAATGTGGTCTGGGAACTGGAAGTGTTACCCCACTCTCTACCCCTGTGTTCCAAGGATGTGACCTGTGCCTCAGAAGACACCGACAGGGTAAAAACCCTATAAATATGGAATCTTACAAGCCAATTTCACTGATAAATCAAGATGCTAAAATATTCACAGCAATTTTGGCAGCAAGATTAAACAATTTTATAGGGAGATACATTCAGAAAGAGCAAAACGGATTTATACCAGGTAGACAGATGTCAGATACAATGAGAAAGGTGCTTAATCTAATGCACCTGACAAAAGAATCAAAATGGAAAGCAGGAGTGGTATATCTAGACATTTTTAAAGCCTTTGATTCAGTTGAATGGGATGCATTAAAAATACTGATTAAACAAGAAGGATCTGGCACCCAATTTAGACAAATAATCCAACAACTATATTCACAGAACTCTGCAAAAATAATAATAAACGATGGTATGACTGAATCAATATCGGTAGGCCAAGGAATGCGACAGGGCTGTTCCTTATCTCCAGTTCTATTTACTTTGCTAGTAGAAGTGCTGGCACAAGTAATCAGAAACAGTATTTCAATTAAAGGGGGTATATTGTTTAAAGAAAAAAATGGAGAAGAGATTAAAAAGATTACTAACCCTTTCCTTAAAAATCTGTTAGAAAATTGGGAAAATGAATATCGGTAGGCCAAGGAATGCGACAGGGCTGTTCCTTATCTCCAGTTCTATTTACTTTGCTAGTAGAAGTGCTGGCACAAGTAATCAGAAACAGTATTTCAATTAAAGGGGGTATATTGTTTAAAGAAAAAAATGGAGAAGAGATTAAAAAGATTACTAACCCTTTCCTTAAAAATCTGTTAGAAAATTGGGAAAATGTTAGAGGTATATTGAGCCCACCAATCTCTCCTTTATCCTGGGTGGTGGATTTAAAGAATTTTCCAGAAAATCTTTTTACAAATTGTGAATATATTAAAAAGTGAAGGGATAAATAGGATAAAAGACTGGATGGAGAAGATGAGAGATAAAGAAAATATAAAAGAGGTTTTGGGAGGAAAGGGGATTTCATGGTTTAATATGATTCAAATAGAAAGGTGGACAAGGGAATGAAATAGTAAGGAAGGGAAAAGTAGAAAAATGACAAAATTGAAAAAAGACTGAAATCAGAGGAAAAGACAGACAGAAAGGGAACTGTAAGTCATACATATAAATTATTAGTTCAAGCCAAACAGGATACACAAGGATTAAAAATACAGTGGCAGTATGATTTGGACAAAGAAGTAATAGGAGAAGAATGGGATAAAATGTGGGATCAAAGATTTATGCAAAGAATTATGAAGAACATGTCTGTAAGGATAAAAGAAAATTGTTATAAGGTAATATGGAGGTGGTATTTAACGCTGGTAAAACTGAATATAATAAATAAAAATGTATTACTATGGAGTAATTTTTTTTGAATACAGGTGTCAAAAAAGAGAAGGGGATGTATATACATATGTGGTGGTCATGTGAACTAAGAAAGCAAGAATGGAAGCAAATTTTTAAAGAAATAAGGGAAATAACTGGATTAAATATTCAAATGTCCCCATCAATGGCTTTATTGAATTTGGTTAAGAAGGATCAATTGTTGAAAGAAAATAAGGACTTAATAGTAATAATGATTACAGCAGCAAGGTTAATTTTTGCAAGAAACTGGAAAAATGATAACCAACTCAATTTAGAGGAATGATATAGAGAACTATGGGATATGGCAATTAATGATAAACTGACATGTGATTTGAAAATGAGAAGAGGCCTATCAAAAAATAATGATTTTAAGAAAATATGGAGTGTATTCTTGGAATATGTATTTCAGAGAGGGAAGGGGTATACACCGAGAAAGAAACAATGGAGTTTTGGAGAGAAAATGGATGTAACGTTCAGCCCTGCCCTCACCTGTCCATCACAGCTGGGCAGTGGAACAGCAGCCAATGAGGGGACGGAAGGTGGTGCTAAAGGGGGAGGAGCTGGGATATAAACGGGGTGTGTATGGGGTTTTGAGGGATAGATGGAGATTGGAGATGAGAGTCTGAGCTGAGAGTTTAAAGTGATTGTTAGTGAGAGAGCCTGTCAGTGTGAAATAGTCTGTGTGAGCCAGTGATTGATTATTAACAGTGGTTGATTAGTTGATTCTTTACCAGTGATTTACTATATTTATTTTTGTAATCAATAAACCAGATTTTGTTTTGAAAAGTTACACTTGTCCTTTTATGATTCTTTAAGGATAAGTTGGTGGCAGCAGAGATTCTAAAGTGAAGTAGCAACCACTCTTTGCGGTTTGAGGGTGGCTGTTACAATGGATTGAATGAAATTTGAAGTACTGTGGTGGCACTGATGTAATATGTAATTTCGTTTTATTGTGGTGGTAGTTTTACGTTGTGCAATTTAATAAATAAAATTTAATTTAAAAAGGGATTGTGGAATTGAAAAAAGAATTCAAAGGAAGAATAGAGAGTGTAATTAAATACTTAGGAATTTATAGGAAATAATTAAGTTAAATATGGACAAACTGAAGAAAAATTGGCAGGCAGATAAACCAGTATCAAAAATTAAAATTGTCATAGCTTGGTGTGGTAAAAGCGTTCCTTAGAACGGCCCTTACACGGGACAGAGAGGGATCCAGGAATGATCCGTCCCTATCTCCAGCAAAATCGGGTCCTGTAACTTTGCTCTAGGCGACTTCTCACCCTTTCGCCCAAGTCTGTCCCGATTTTAAATAAACAATATCTAGGAGCTCTGGAAGAGCTAATCTTCCTTTCATTAATTTAGGACCCTAATTTGGTAGCATCATGTGGCCAGATCAAAACAATCCTAGTTCCAAAATATCCAATTTACTACAGTAGCTTAGTCTAAACAAGGAGACAGCTTACAGACAATTTGTCTTTTTATATTTTATTACAAAAGATATCATTTCAACAAGCTCATTTTAACGTCATTCAGTATTTCCAAATTATTTCCAAAATAACACCCAGCCTTAGCCACCAGTCATTTCCTCTATAAAGTGAAAATAATGAACTGTCTAACTATATCTTAAATAAGCATTCTTACGCAATCTCAAAATAAAGTCCTGTCGGCTGCATATCTCTCAGTGTGTCGTCTCTCTCCCTTCCATCTCTTCTCCGTCGCTCTCCCTTCCATCTCTTCTCCCATCCTTCTTTCTCTCTCTTTGCCCATCTTTCTTAAATTAAGCCGTTGTGTCCTTGTCCGTTGGAGTTTTGATAAGGGTCAATTTAATAAATCAAATTTAATTTAAAAAAGGGATTGTAGAATTGAAAAAAGAATTCAAAGGAAGAATAGAGAGTGTAATTAAATACTTAGGAATTTACAGGAAATAATTAAGTTAAATATGGACAAACTGAAGAAAAATTGACAGGCAGGTAAACCAGTATCAAAAATTAAAATTGTCATAGCTTGGTAGAATAGCATTATGTAAAATAAAGATTATTCCTAAAGTATTCTCGAGAATACTTCAAAAATACATTATTCTTAAACCTAATTTTCTGTTTTGGATCCTCCCAATAAAGACTGGAGAAATATATCTGAAAGCTTTTAAAGAGATATGGTATCCATATTTGAACTTTTTTTTTTTTTGTAAAAGGGAGAGCTCATAAGCCAGCAGATGAATCAATTTATTTTTGGAGTGGAATGGGGTGAAAAGAGATTAAAAGGATATATTTGGCTATCTGGTCCTGAGGGTGATGGTGGCACGCGGGGGGGGGGAGTTTTTGTACTATTGTATGGCATGTATGTACATTTTGTGTTAGTATTGTTATTATTATTTTTCTTTACTAAAATATTTTTAAAAATTAGGGGAAAATAAATATATCTGAAAGACTAGCAGAAATTAATAAATAATTATTGTAATGGAAATAAGTGAACAAGTGGAAAGACTATATGCCAGCCAAAGAATCCATGTACTTCTGGAGCGTAAAGTGGGGCGTAAAGTGGCACAAACTGATGTTACTGGTTCCCTAGTCCCACAGGTGAAAGTGGCACGGGTGGGAAATGTTTATTGTGTATGGTGAGTAATTATTACTGAGTTTGTATTTTAGTCTTATTTCTGCTATTTGTAATTTTTTTTCTTTTTATAATTTTTAAAAAAGGTTCTCACAGGGGGATCTCGTCCCCACCTAGGCTGCTTTCAAGCTAGCCTTCTTCCCATGATTTCTCTCTCTGTGTGTGTAAGTGTGTAAGCACGAGTGCTTTCCTCATCGCTGCCTGCTTCTCCTTCTTGATGTGTCTCCTTCCCACCAGGTGACTTCTGCTATTTGGGCACTACCCTGCGCCAGCAGGAGATTGAGCCGACACCCTCGACGGTGGATGTACGGCAGAACATGGCCTTGTATGCTATTCTGCGCCTGGGTGGGTGTGCTCAGTCCTCTGTTCCCCTGCATGGGAGGTGGAGGTTGCTTTGGGATCCTACTCTTAGAAGGTTTCCCCCCCCCTTGCCCCACTCTCTTTCTTGCACCTTCTGCCAGTGAGTTCCTCCCCTCTCCTCCCACCACAGGCTGCCAAACTGTGCATGAGTTGGCCCCCCTGGTGAAGTCCCTCCTCTTGGCCGGTCCTGCGGGCACAGGGAAGAAGATGCTGGTCCAAGCCGTCTGCACGGAGACAGGGGCCAACCTTTTTGACCTCTCTCCAGAAAACCTGGTGGGCAAGTACCCAGGCAAGAGTGGCCTCCAGATGCTGGTCCACCTTGTGCTCAAGGTAGGGCCTTGCAAGAACGGTTGGGCAAAAAATCAGGGCAGTGCCCTTTCAGGCAACTCAAAGGTGCCTCTGGTCTGGGATCAGAGGGAGAAACAGCTGCTGGTGCCAGACTGAAGCCAAGGGTGTCTGGATTTGGGGGCTTTTGGGGAGGCAGTAAGTGGGTGTTTGTTGGATCCGGGAGGGGACACCCTGGAGCCCAAGTAGAGGACACTGTACCTGCAGAGCTTCTGGCCACATCTTACCCAGGCTTGGGCAGCTCCCTCTGTCCTGCTGGCCTTGACAGAGCAGGGTAGAATGGCACGGTTACTCTCCTCAGCCAGGGGAGGAAGCAGGAGCAGACACCAGACCACATGACACCACACCACACTACACCACTAATCTCCATTTTGGCTTCTGCTCACATTCCTTTTCCTCACCCCCTGGAGGTGGCCCGCCTCTTGAAGCCCTCGGTCATCTGGGTAGGCAATGCAGAGAAGACCTTTTATAAGAAGGTTCCTAAAGAAGAGAAGGAGGTAAGTCAGGAGGGGAGGGGAGAGGGATGCTGTGCTTCCCTGCCAGGACTTTGAGGGGCCCCTTGCCATGGTGTAAGGATGGCATAAGGCAATGGCCCTAACTGCAGAGGGACACCTCCTCAGCAAGAGTGAAGTGTGCAGACGTGGGCAAGCCAAGTCCAGTCTGGGTATCTTGCCTGGCAACACCCCCCTCTCAGAGCACTGATTTGGGTCCTGCTGGCCCTTTACCACCCCCTTCCAGTTTGACCCCAGGCGCCTGAAGAGGGAGCTGCCAAAGGCCCTCCACCTTTTGAAGGCTGGCGACCGTGTGCTCCTGCTGGGCACCTCCAACAAGCCCTACCTGGCCGACGTGAAGGGCCTTTGCAAGACGTACGAGCGTGTCCTGCTCATCCCTCGCCCAGACTACGCCTCGCGCTTTGGTGAGGTGGGGGCGGGGGAGGGAAATGGGGAAGGCAGTGGTTCTGCAGAAGGAAGGACAGGGAGGCCTCGCGGTGGGAAGGGGGTTGCCCAGATGCTCCTCTGAAAAGTATCGGAGAGGAGCCTGAACCCAGGAGAGCCTCCCCGGCTGAGATGGAGCCTGAAGCAGGTCCTCCTTGAAGGTGCTCCGTGAGAGAGCGGAGCAGGTGCCCAGGGGGCAGCCGGGGGCAGCCCTGGGGTGGGGGGGAGAGGGGTGGCCCCCCTCACTTCTTCTGGAGCTCAACTCCCACCGTTCTCCACGAATTCTGGGAATTCCAGCCCACTGGTCCTTAAATGCATGGTGGGGGGGGAGGGCTGGATGGGGGGGGTTCCAACTGGCACAAGGAAAGAGGGCATCAGGGTAGAGTCCCCTCTTGGAAGCAAGGGCTCCTGGCAGACATGGAAGCCAAATGGGGGTGGGGGTTAGGGTTGTTGTAGGGAAGGGAGGAGCCTGACGCGATGCTCACCCCACTCTTCCTCCTCCGGGGCAGTGGTGTGGCAGCAGCTGATCCAGAAGCACGGTGGCGTGGTGACCTCCAGCCTGGACCTGAGCGCTTTGGCCAAAGTGTCGGATGGCTACAGCCAGGGCAGCCTGGCGCGAGCAGTGCAGGCCGTGCTGACCGAGCGGCGCCTCCTGCAGCTGCCCAAGCGCCCACTCAATGCAGGGGAGCTGCTGCAGATGCTGGCCAGGACGGACCCCATCTACCCTGAGGAAGAAGAGATGATCCAGGTGCCCTCTGGCCCCCCTCCTCGCTGCCCATACCCAGGCCAGGAGCTGCTCCAGGGCCCCTTCCTCCCTCCTACACCCCCTGGCTCTCCCCGGGCCCAAACAAAGCCATTTTTTGGTTTGGGAATGGACCAGGGCCAAGAGGTTCAAGCAGCCTGTAAGCACCCTCTCCTTCGGCGCCCATCCACACCGTGTCTGAGCTGTTCTCTCTGGGATCTGTTGGCAGGAGTGGTACTGTAAGACCCCACTGGGCAAAAGGAAGCTGAAGGAAAAAGAGGAGAAGATCAAGGCAGCTGAGGCCAAGGACAAGAAGAAGGAGAAGAAGAAGAAATAGGGACTGAGAGAGGGAGGGGCCAGACGGTGGCCAAGGTCTTGTGGGGTGCAAAGCAACATAAATGGGCTTGTGTGCGTGTGCACAAACCAGGGTTTGCCTCTGGGGAGGCTGATTCAAGGCACTCTAGTCTTTGGTCATCATGTGAGCATGTGGCAGAGCCACCTATGAACAGTTTCTGCCCCATTGGTATCAGGTCAGGGTGGAAACTTTGCCAAATCAGGAAGACACTGGGGGGCGGGGGATCCCAGAGGAGAGGAACTGCTCTCTCCAGGATGCTTTCTGAGTCAGAGGAGTTCTGTGGTCACTGGGCCAGTCTTGTGGCAAGAAAGGGCTTTGCAGCCCACTCCCCAGGCTCTCTGGGCATCTTAGGGGCAGGAACTAGCTGTCCCCCATAGAGAGGGCAGACATGGAGATTTCTCCTGGCTCCACAGCAGAAGATCAGCCATGGGCTTGCTCTGCTGAGGTCTGGATCACCACTTTCACCAAAACGTTCCTGATTTTTGCCATGGGACAGAGCATCCTGATTTGAGAAGCAGGTCCTTGGGGAGGGGGCCCAGTCTTCTTCTTGGAAGGGCGGGCTGGCCAGTTTCATGAATGATTGGTTGGGAACAGGTGCAAGGATTCCTGATGTCCAGATGCATCTTGGACTTTCACACTGCCCAAGGACCTGCCTGAGGTGCCTTGGGAGCTGTTGGGAAAATTGCTAGTGGAAACCAGCTCTGTCTTGTCCCCTGGAGCATCTCAGACATTGCAAGTGGCCCCCTTCCCTGAAGGCTGGAGCACTTGCAGTGCACCAGCCATGCCCATCTCTGCATTGTCCTGGGGTTTTAGAATCCCAGCGCAGCAGGGAGTCATTCGGGGGGGGGAGAGGGTGCTGGGATGATAGTGGCATCAGGGCACACATCCCAAAGAAGCAGCAGAAGCAGCTGTCAGACTCTTGTGAACTGCCCAGACGCTCCATAGAGAGGAGTGGATGGCTGTGTGATAGCAAAGAAACTCTTTAATACTGTAAAATGCAGGGAGGCTGCTTTTCTTCACCCACAGAATGGAAAAAGCAAACAGGCTGTGCACTTGGAGGAAGAATTCAGGTTGGCTGGAGAAGGAGACTAGCTTTCATTACTGCCAGCCACGGTATCCTCCTAGCCAGGCTCTTGGTGGTGGGGATCTGGGGATTGGATTTGAGCTGGTTCTGATCCTTCCTCAAGGTTTGTCTACAGAGAGCGCAGGTTGGGGGTTTGCTGTCAGCCCCTTAGATCCTCACATGTTACCAATACCTCCAATGCGTTTTAAAATATGTTTACAGCTGCTGGGGTAGGTCATCGGGAGATCTGGAGTACGTCTGTGCAGTGGACCCCATCCAGAGGCTGGAGCGTTGCTTGGCTTTGGTCCTGGACTGGAGCAGGGCCAACAGGCTCGAACTGAACCTGGACAAGACAGGGAATCCTCCTCCTGGGGGATCCCTAGGGGACACACTCTCTAGGCTGGTTGGCGTACATGATCCCATATAGGGAAAAAGTTGGGGACCTGGGTGGGCTCCTGGACCCAGCTCTGTTTTGGGATTCCTGGATTGCAGTCAGCTGAGCCTTGGCACCCAGCTCCACCCCACCTAGATGTGGGGGCTCTCAGGAGATGGGTGCATGTGGTGGCGATCTTCAGGATCAACTATTGTAATGCTCTCATTATGGGGCTTCCCTGAGGTCGACCCAGAGACTGAAGCAGGTCCAGGCTGGTGGAGAGAGTGAGCAAGTTTGATCACATCTCCCCAGTCGTGGCTTGTCTGGTTATCTGTTGTATTCTGGGTCAAACATCAAAGCTTTGATGCTCACTTATAAAGCCCTCCGAGTCCCTTTGCCCAAGGTAATCCACCAAAAATCATCTGAGAGAAACCAGACCTTCTCAGCAGTGGCACCTGTTCTATGGAACCAGCTCTGGGCAGAGCTGCTCCTGGGCCCCCTCCTTCCCCACTTACAGGCGGTGGCTGAAGATACTTCTCTTCAGAGAGGCCTTCCAACGCAACCTTCCTGGATTATTTGACTCTCTGCTCTGCCTTGTATCCTATCTGAATTCTCACAACATACTATGTAACTGATTCTAAGTCAATAAAGGGAGCTCTCAGGGTGTTGCCTTTAGGCTCCGCTGGCTCAGACATCTGTGGTCGGCTCTCCTTTGTACTTTTTCTAAGGCAATTAGCCTTCCTTTGTTCTGTGATCACCCACTGCTGATGTGCTTTTAATAAAAAGATGTCACGTAAGTTTCTGCACCTTCAACATGAAGGTGGAAATGTTTGCAGATGGTTACAGTGCGAAAGAAAAGTTGGGGAGGCAGTATTTTTTAATGTTTTAGAATTTTAGATGATCTATTATTATTATTATTATTTTATTATTATTATTATTATTATTATTATTATTATTATTATTATATGCTATGTGCTTTTTAACTATGTAATTTATTATGTCTTTAGTCTAACTTATGTTAATGGCTGTGTTCTGCCTTGGTTCCCTTCACTGGGAGAAAGGTGATCTAGAAAGGGAACAAACGAACAAACTGCATTCATTTACTGCACACTGTCCATAAGACCATGGCAAGGTTCTGCTGAGACTTAGAGCAATCCTAGGAGTCTCATCAAGAGGAAAGCCAACTGGATTCCACTGGATTTGCTGTCAAGTAAAAGGATACTGGATCACACGCTAATTTGACTTGTCTCTCATTATGGCTGAGGACAAGTCATGCTTTCACGGCTCCCCTAGAGAGAGCTACTAGTGGATGCTATGCTTCCGGCAGCCCTATTTTTGGCAACCTTCATAGTAGGGCTGTGTAACGGGCAGCCATGAGCTCACCTGTCTGTCACAGCTGGGCAGTGAATCGTCAGCCAATGGTGTGACGGGGGGTGGAATTGAAGGGGAGGAGCTGGTATAAAAACGGGGGTGGAAGAGTGTGTGAGGCAGATTGATTGAGTGAGAGAGTGAGATCTGGAGAGATCGAGTGTGAGAGAGTTTGTTAGAGGCCTGCGTGCCTGGGTGTCAGTGAGGGAAAGTCTATGTGTTTAAGTGAATAAGAAATTGATTTACATCGTGATTATCTTCCTGTGATTTACCTATTTTATTTTGTAACCAATAAACCAAGTTTTATTTTTGAAAGAAACCCTTGTCCTTTTTATTTAAAGGAAAGGTTGGTGGCAGCAAGAGTGTGTAGTGGCGTGGTGGGCATTCTGAGAGGCCTGAGTAGGAGGTGACCTCAGAGTGGCTCAGCCACGTTACAGGCTGTTATTCACAAGTGCTGCAGATCTGTCTCACAATCCTGTCCCTCTCACAGAGTCTGACGTTTCTAGCTCTGCATTTTGCCCACATGGATCATCTCTGTAGAGGGGATGAATCATAGCCGTCTTACTATTCCTCGCATGGACTGGCTTTTGGTAGTACAGTACATGCCTGATCCTGGAAGGTGCTTCTCTGGGGAAAACATTGAGCAGCCCACCGGCAGATGCATGAATAAACCCTTTTCCTATGAAAGACCTGCTTCTTCTGCCCAGGAAAAAGACATCAATGGCCATTCCTTCTCCTTTGTGACTGGATGTGGTTTCTTTAGAGCTTCACCTCGAACTAGCTGGAACCACCTGATGTGTTTCATACAAGGAGCCCAAAGTGTTATGCTTCTGATGACTGTTTGCTTTGCTTGTTTATATAGCGGTTGTTTTTTTTAAAAAAAAAATTGTTGCTTTAAGTTGTTCAGAAAAGATAGACTTCTTTATATATTTTTATTTTACATTTTACAAATTTTTAATTGTATTGTGTATGTCATTTTGAATATGTATCCCAAGATAGTTTGTTATTTGTTATTTTCTTTTATATATGTGTGTGTGTGTGTGTGTGTGTGTGTGTGTGTGTGTATATTGTGTATATACTGTGTGTGTGTGTGTGTGTGTGTGTG